ATATTCCCAAACTCTTAACTTTGATTGGCCCTGGGAAGTGGGATTGTATGAAAGATAGGGAAGAGCTTTCATTTTTTTTAACTCTATAGCCTTCTGTCATCAATTTTAATTTTAATTATTATTAACTTTTTGGTTTATGCCTTTTAAATATATTATTTTTGTAATGATTTTTAAACACTGTAACATGCCCTTTCCTCACACCCTATATAACTTTTACATAACTTAATTTTTCTTTGTCCCTCTTCTTACTTCCTCACTTTTTTTTTTCTTTTATTGAGTTTATTGGTACATTTAAGGCATACAGTACAGTTACGTTCATTACTGGGATCGTGTACCTTTACCTGCCAGGCCTGGGTTCTCACCTCCTCACTTCTTTATTCATGGCATGAGAGTCTTTCCCAAGTACAATGTCAAATCACAGCAACAGGGCCTTTGTTTTAGTCCCTTGGCATTCCCATTGCTTAGGAGGGTAGTTGGTCTAAATTAGGTTATTTGTAATATCTGTTAATGAATTTAACTAAAAAGTAATGTCCTCACATTGTTGTTGCATAATTAGCATTTGTGAATGGATTGTTTTCACAAGGTTGTACAGCTACTTACTGTCCAGATTCTGAGCCTCTGATTCTCCCAGTTCAGAGATTGGGGAGTAGAACTAGGATTTAGGTTATTGTGGCAAGTGCTCAATAGAACCACTGAGATACACTCCCAGCCCACACTGCCTCCCTAAAACTAATTTGTTTTGGCTTTTTATTTGTTTGTTTTGTTTTGTTTTTGAGATAAGTCTCTATGTAGTCCAGGCTGGCCTTGCAGTGATCCTCCTGCCTCAGCCTCCCAAATTCTGGGATTATAGCTGTGCACCACCACACCTAGCCATTCTTTGAGAGTCATAGTGAGACATGTCTTATGTTACAAAAATATGCCCACCAACCTGCCAGTATACCACATTTTCCAATGGGACCTGGCAGGGACCAGGGATTTAGCTCAGTGGTCCCATCGCCTGCCTTGAAAGCACAAGGTCCCGAGTTCAATCCCTGGTACCAAAAGAAAAAAAAAAACAAAAAACAATACCTCACTTCATCCTAGAATTGTTCCATCTGGCTTACATACCACAGGGAAGTTGTTTATTGCATTTTATGCGCAAATTTCCCTATCTAGCTCCCACTGCCCAAATGCCAAACAGATAATTTCTCAAGATTATATAGTGTTGCCAGAGATTTGCCTCAATGATTCTACCACCTGCCTCGCAAGTGCAAGGGCCTAAGTTCTATCCCCAGTACCAAAAAAAAGATTATATAATGTTGCAGGCAACCCATTTTCCAGTCCCCCTTCTGTCACTCTTAGAAGCTTTCTTTCTCTCAATAAATTTTTTCTACTCTTAAAAAAATTATATATAGTGTTTTTCATGCAGATAATTTTAATTACATGTTAAAATTCTTTAGTGGTTTTCCAAAGTATAAAGAACCAGATTTCCTGGATGATGCTTATCACACTTACTCTGGCACAATACTAGAAGATATCTGGATTTTCCTTTATTTTATTTTATTTTTTGGTACCGGGGATTGAACTCAGGACCTTGTGCTTGCAAGGCAGGCGGCGGAACCACTGAGCTACATCCCCGGCCCCATGGATTTCCCTTCATGTCAGATTTCAGGAGGTGGTTTTGCTGTAGTCAAATGTCTTAGAATGAGGT